CGGCGGTGAGCAAAAGAATGGTTCCTCTAACCGCAGCTAAAAATCCGATGCAGTAGCCGAAACGCTCGGAGACGACGTTTTTGAGTGCGCAGAGAACGATGACCAGTGTGCCATGTCTTTCGAGGATGAGACCTTCTTAAAAATAATGGTGGAGGAGGTGTAACAGGACAAAAATAATAACTGGGTCGCTCCATTACCATTCAAATCCCCTCGCTTGCCACTCCAAAACAACAGGGACCAAGCATTGTCAAGGCGTAACTTGCACCGACGCAGCCGAATGAAAAACCCTCAAATGAAAGTCTTTGTGGAGAGACACTTCTATGTAGATGATGGGTTGGTTTTGAAATCTGTATTCTGCTCATATTTCGTCATGCTGTATAACTTTCCCATGCCCGCAGTGTAGCTTGGCGTCCTTGTAACAATCATCACCTAGATTTGGAATACTCCCTACTGAAGACACACAAACTTTGGAATGCGCCAAGCTGAGAATCGGTTGAGGAGAAACAAAAGTTATGATATCACAATTTGTGTCTCGGTACCGCACTTCTGATGGTATAAAAATGATGTGAATCTCTTTCTGCTTCGCACTCGTGACGCGCAGCCATTGTCTGTAATTCGTGGGTGCCCGGAATATTCTGTTATTAAAAGCTTCGAAGGAACTGTTCATCAACTCCAGCCTTTATTTGGATTACCAACATTCTCCTCGTCCGAAATTCAACGAACACGCGGGGGAGAGGAGGCCGCTCTTCCCCCAACAGTTTCACTCCCCACCGAGTCTGCAGCCGTAGATTTGCTCAGGCGCACATGTGCATCCTTGGCCGAATTCAATCTCAAGCTCCACAAAATCGCCTCAAACAGTGTCTCAGTGATGCAACCCTTCAAACCAGAAGTCCTGGCCACCGATATCAAAGATTTGAGCCTCGGCGGTGACACCCGACGAATTCAGAGAAGTCTCGGATTGTGCTGGGACATAAGCACCGACTCCTTCACGTTCAAGGTAGCCGTCAACGACAAACCCTACACTCGTCATGGGGTTCTTTCAGTAAACAACAGCATCTTTGACCCATTGGGACTAGCATCAGCAGTAACAATTAAAGGCAGACTTCAGTGACGCCAACTTTCAAATGGAGTCCAAGATTGGGACGCTCCTCTCTCTCAGAAAAAATGGACTATCATCAGAACGCTTCCAACGCTTTTCAAACTGGAACTTGCTGGTACGTGCCATTGCATTCCTGACTCACCAAGCTCGTTCACATTCATCAAGTAACTCGTCGAATCACTCATGTAAAGGGTGGCATCAGTATCCCATGCCACACACTCCAGAGGGGCTAGACATCACCAGTAGCCTCATCCTGCAGTCCGTTCAACGAGATCCTTTTCCTGACGAATATGCTGCTCTCCAAATAAATCAAACCGTCCACAGCTCAAGTCTCATTGTAGTTTTCGATCCCTGCACGAGTGACGGTCTCATTAAAGTCGGTGGTCGTCTCAAGCATGCTTCATTGAACATAGCATACAAGAATCCAATTGTGATCCCAAATAAGCATCAGGTGACTAACACGCTACGTCCTGCAACTACCTTGGCCCAAAAGCAACATGTCCACCAGGAGACTTCTGTGGAAAAGACTTGCTCAAAAAGCAGTGGAGACAAGTGCAGACACTTGCAAACGAACTTTGGAATCGCTGGAGAAACAAATATCTAAACACTCTCCAATCAAGGCGCAAGTGGCATACAGCACGTCGGAACATCCAACCAGGTGACATTGTGCTTTTGAAACAAAATCAAGCACCCAGAAATGAATGGACAATGGCCATCATCACAGCTACATTTCCAAGCGACGACCGAAAGGTCAGAAAGGTCGAAGTGAGGACGTCATCCCAGGGCGTCTCAAAGACATTCCTACGTCCCGTCTCGGATGTCGTCATGCTTCTAGAAATTGATGAAACTGTTAAATAGTTGTAGTGACATTAGTAATGCCAGACGGGGAGTGATGCGAAAGAATCGCAAAAACGGATTGTCATCGTTGTTTGTCACGTTTGAGCTGCATTTATGTCTTTGTTTAAATACCAGACGATTTGTGTTGTATTTATGTACACAATGTTAATGCATGTTTTAAATCTGTTCATTTCAGTTTCACTCTACATTTCATTGAGCTGATGTCACAGTTGTTCACTGTACGCCGTCAAGAAGACCGTAATAAAGGAGCAAGACGCTCAGTTTCCTGGCTCATGAAAAAATGAGTTTGGCTTGCTGTTGACCTGCGTTAACACACCCGGAGTATCCAACACGTAGCGATAACAGTACAGATGCAGCTCAAACGTGACAAACAACGATGACAATGCGTTTTTTTGCGATTCTTTCGCATGCTAATGAGCTCGCTAGCACCTACCTAACATCGTCGCTACGTTGTTAGCATTGATTTAGCATCATCGCTATGTCGTTAGGAATACTCTGAGCTAGCGAGTTTCAATGACTACAGTTGAGGTAAAACGATCTCTGAAACACATTTCGAAATAAGTCTAAACACAAGCAGACTTACAGCCATTGCTTTCGAAGGTGAAACAAAAGGGATTTAACTCAAGAGGACCAGTTGCAACGACCACGGTAGGCTTTCTGGCACGACTCGTCTGATGAAAGATGGCGTCTGCTATCCACAATGAACCGCGATAACCAAATGAATATTCAAAACACAATTAGCATTAATGAAATGGCCCGTAACTTTTACTGTGGGCAGAACAGGTATACTGGCCTAATAGTAATCACTGTTATTTTCAGGCGGCACAGAACTCATATTAAACTGAACCCCGAAGCTAAGAACTTTTTGTATGCTCTTGCATTTAGTTGAACTACATGTTGGCTTGTTTGACTGCTGCTTTTTCTGTTTGTATGTATAAGTATATACTATAAATGTGTGTGTGCGCAGATATTTATAACACATTTCAGAGATTATTGCATTTGAAGGATTTGTGAGGTCAAGTCAAGTACAACTCTATTATCAAATGTGCTGTATGTGTACAGCACAGATGAAATTTCCTCCCTCTTAAACAGACAACAAGAGGAGCTGCTGCGGGTGCCCGTTCCGCCATCAAGAGAACACTTAACATAAAATGACAAAATAATACAACACAACAAATAAAACAGACAGTCGTGCCATCTTAACCACTTTTCCTCCATTCACTTTGTTGTTTGAAGCAGTAATACATGTAAGAGGAGTGTTTGAAGCAGTAATAGATGAAAGAGGAGCAAATCAAAGTGTCCTTTTCACCAGTGGATCAAAGACGTCATGCTGTGTGCTTTAATGCACAGCATGTTTGCATGTTTGCACTGAGGAGGATTGAGAGGAAGAAATTTCATCTATGCTGCATGTCATACATAAAGCATATTTGACAATAAAGATGACCTTGACGTTGACCTGCAATGTGCACACGTCTGCTACAAGCTAGCTTGAAAGCAACAAGACGCTGTAGCATCCATGAACAAAAAAAGAGATTGGCTCTCTTCTCCTTTCCGCATACATGTACCATAACACTCATGTACGTGTTCTATGTAAATGTCGCATACTTATTACTGCTTGGAGAAATTTACAAAATGGTTTGAATGATTTTATTAGTAAACAATTAAGATTTGCATTCGGACTATTCTAGGCACAGGGTAATGCTCTAATATATGCAGACATAACTTCAGGCGAAAATAAATAATAAATTGTAGCCTGCAAGTAAAATCAAATACTTGTGGCCACGAGGACGAGATTCAACTTTCAAGTGTACGTTATACCTATTTCGTAACCACAGCTGAACCCCCTGCCCCCAAAACACACACACATTTTAAAGCTATTTTATGGCCAAAAATTTGTAGTATGCGTGCATGTTATATCTACTTTGTGTTTGTGGACTGTGGCCACATTTAAATCCCCACCCACATATAGATCACATTTGTGCACAAAATACTATATTTGTGGCCACGGAGTAAGTACAATGTGCATAGAAACATTGGACAGTTGGCTAAAAAATACAAGCGGACCTCTAAACTACAGCTAAGGAAAGCTAAGGTATAGGGAGAAAAGTTGCGCTCCATATGCTTCCCAGACACCCCAATTATTCATGGGAAGAATGTCAAACCCACAAATGAGTATTTCCTGAGCAGGTTACACGTTTTTCGCGGCCAGACCGGAAATACGAGTGTCTGGTCACAACTTTTCTGTACAATTCTCGCCCGTAGGCGGCGGTAATTCCCGGCTTGTTTCATTAAAAGCTTCGACGAAGAAAGCGGCCGCAGTGGCCTTGCGGCGTCTTGGTCTTGTCTTGCACTACAGCTTCCAGCATCAACACCGCCCATCCCTTATTTTTGTTCTCCTCGGGAATCAGGCCAACCACACCGGACTACTTTGTCACCGGACTGTTTTACTTGGACGTCAGGTGCTCATTCCCTTTCCATTTTTTCCCTCGACGTGCTTCGGCGGTATGGCTTTAGTTGTTTTTTTTTTTGTTTTTTTTTTTGGAGTGGCTTGTCGCGGGCCCTCTCGGATTAGCATGCTAACTTAGACATCGACCTGCTGGTCCAGGCTGACAGCGAGGCTTTTAATTCGATCAAAACATGTTTGGCAGGGTCGCCACTAAGTGGGAGACATTCATCTGACATGGTCAAGTGACTAAAACCTCACTCGTTTTGAATACATTTTCAATTTGTCATAATAGCTGTTGTTGTTGGGATTTATAGTTGTCAGGACAGCGGGAGGAGCAGTGTTGAGCATCTTGGATGTACTGACGTCATACATGGGCAAAAGTAGGAGTGCACGATAAAAACAACTAATTATGTGTTTTAATTCTCTGCGAATGACACCGTTGTTGGTATGTTCATCCGTCCTGGTTATTTCATAAGGGTTTTCAGTTTCCATTATTTGAGTATTAGAGTTCCATTAAAGTACATTTTTCTTTCATCCCTTTTTTTTTATCTATAATTTTCATTTTACTGGTTGAGCTTATTCTGTTTATTATGAACTGTACATTCTTGACTGGACCACATTATGTGAGTATGAGATTATACAAACAAACAAACATTTTAGTGAAAAACAATGTCCAATCTCAGTCATGAACACATATAAAGAGAGCATTGTAATAAGCAGCTGTTCTCATATTAATAGTGTGACAGGCCCAGGGCCACTTCTTCCTTTCTTGGTGAATCAGCCCAGGCATCACATAAACACTGGTTTTGTTCGCCAACACAGAGATTAAAGTAATCCCATGTTCACATGTTTATACTTTGCAGAGCTGCAAAAATAGGGATCTACGCTAACAGTCATCCAGGGCCACTACGTGACTGTAATTGGGACACTCCCAAGTTCACTGACGCAGGCCCCACCTGGCTGCTGCAAATTTCTTTAAAAACTACCATGAAATCAACATGCTCTTGTTTATGCTCACATAAACTTGTATTAACTCTTTCCAGTACGTATTGTGTTTGTGATTGTGAAGTTTTGTTTTCACTTTTCTGAGAAGTGCCTTGAAGACAGAATGTCCTCTTTAATTCACTGATGTAAGTGATGAGCAAATGCTGCCGTCATCCCACAGTATGTCCGACAAGAGTGAGCTGAAGGCCGAGCTAGAGAGGAAGAAACAGCGCATCGCGCAGATTCGAGAGGAAAAGAAGAGAAAAGAAGAGGAGAAGAAGAAGAAGGATGTTAGTCGCCTGAACAATAACACATATTAAGAGGTTGGAAGTGCTCTTTGAGCTTGTCCTTGTCCTCTGCAGGGAGACTCAAAGCGTGCTGTGGAGGCAGGTGGCGAAGACTCGGACCTGGAGAAGAAGAGGAAGGAGGCCGAGGCTTTGCTGCAGAGTGTTGGCATTACCCCTGACATACAACATGGTACACAAACACACACACACACACACACACACACACACACACACACACACACACACACAGCAGCATGCATGCACGCACATCTTTTTTTGTTTGTTTGTTTCACTGTCGCGGCACTTTGACTTGACATTAAGGCTGAACAATTTTCAAAAAGAGTAATTGCCATTTTTTTCCCTACTCAGTATTGCCATTGTGATGTAATCTGCAGTTATTTTTCCCATGTCCTCATGTCATGTATTTTTGAAACAAACACAAGCAATAAAAAAAAAAATCAATAATATCAAATTGATTACAGACGCTCCCCGATTTACGAACATTCGAGTTACGAACAACGGTACATACGAACATTTTTGCGGGTACAGGTATGTTGGAAAATGTTCTCGGACAGAGATGCTGTAAGTTCGATTTTGTATTGTGCGCCTTTTTACGAGTACTGTAGTGCTTCTTTCCGCCACTAATACCGACGTGAGGTGCTGTGAGAGGAGTAGGAGGAGGAGGAGGAAACGCCTGTCCCCATGAAGAAGTTCGAGACGGAACTCTTGGCCGAGGGGTTTTCGCTCATAGATAAAGCCATCGCACTCTTCGAGCAGCAAGAGCCAAATATTGAACGTTGCACAAAGGTTGCAAATCAAATGAATATTGCCATACAGTGCTACTGCATCATTTATGATGAGAAAAAGAAGAAAACTGTGCAATCGTCGTTAGATCGCTTCTTTCGGCCAGTTTCTACTACGCCCTCCAAGGAAGATACTCGTCAACCCTCATCTTCTTTTCCTGGACCCTCAACTTCTTCCTTCATTGATGTTACGGAGGCGGAAGTAACTCTTGAAGTCCATTCCAGCGGCGACGAAGACCCTCTCTGCCCCATGATATAAAATCCTCCTCTTCCTTCTCCTTCCCCTCCATCATCTCCTTAAGCCTTCGAGTACATCTTCCAAAAGTAAGTTAAACTTCATTTTATTATACTTATATAAACCTTAAACATACTTATATAAGCCTTAAACATACATTCCATACAAAATATAGCACTGAAGCAATTTACGAACGAATTCACCTAACGAATGATCCTTCAGAATGTATCTCATTTGTAAGCTGGGGAGCATCTGTATATGGAAATGTTTTGGTCTTATAGTTTAGCTACCGCTAAAATATAGGCAAATGAACCATTAATTAATCTGAAACACATCTAATTTATCTACCTCAATTTGAGCTGTTTAAACTGACTTGTAGGATTTTACGCAATCACGATGCCAACTTCACAAAATTAAACCAAACAAGTGTGATGTGAACATCTCAGATGAAAACAGTAATGCAACCAAATCTGTGACTTTTTCATTTCAACTTTACACGTTGTTATTCATGCTGTCGACTGCAGTTAACATGACAGCAGCGCCCGTGGGCTCAGGTTGCAAACGTCATGTGACCAAACCCAGAAAACAGGCGAGCCGTGATGTTCGCAAGCTCAGCCCGTGGGTGCTGCTGTCATGTGAATTGCAGTCAACAGCAGGTGGGAGTACAGGATAAAATAGCCCCCCCCCCGAAATGGGTGGGGGGGGTGGCTTTGTCTGCTTCATTTTCTTTCATTCATCCATTTTCTAATCTGCTTATCTTCATAAGGGTCGCTCGCGGCAGTGCTGGAGCCTATCCCAGCTGTCTTCGGACAGTAGGGGGTACCCCCCTAGTTGCCAGCCACTCGCAAGGCACACAGAGACGAACAACCTTCCGCACTCACAATGACTCAGAGGGACAATTTAGAGTGTTCCATTAATCTGCCATGCATGTTTTTTGGAATGTGGGAGAAAACCGGAGTATCCGGAGAAAACCCACAAAGGCATGGGGAAAAAAATGCAAACTCCACAAAGGAAGGCTAGGGCCTGAATCGAACCTTCCACTTGTGCACTGTGAGGCTGACATGCTAACCAGTAAATTACCGTGCTGCCCTGCTTCATTCTTATTTCCACAAAATCATTTTAAGCTAATGAGGGTACAAAGAAAAAACTTGACTCGACTTTCACTTTGTTGTTTGACATTTGCTGGACTTCATACCTTGTTCAAGCCATTTCTTGTGGAAGAATTTAATCTGACGCGTCAGTAAATGTGCACGGCACGTTAAAAAGACCAATGATGATTGATCACTTCAAGTGGATACGCTTCCAAATATTGAATAGCAAGAACCTGTTAATTTCATCCTTATTCCTTCTGACAATTGTACCGTGCCTGTAATATTGCATGGTACACTGTTAATGCTTAAATCAAAGTATCACTGTACGTATGACAGTATCTGGGATCACCTCTGATGGACCGCTTGATACGCTGAAGCTTGAAGAAAGTCTAATGTTGCAGTTTGGCTAAATTGTGTTCACCCCTCTCACCTCGCACATTATCCGACCGCTTTGTGCATGACACCTAAGCCCGCCTGTCATTTATGTTCATTCTCTCTTCTCTCCCGTGTGTGTGTGTGTGTGTGTGTGTGTGTGTGTGTGTGCGCGCGCGCGTCGTTGGGTGGGCCCCCCCTCTGCTGCATGCTTGACTCATCCGCTCGCCACTGCTACTCCTACAAACCCCTCACTCTCCCACTCACTCCCACCACCCACTGGTCAAACAGCCACAGCTCAGCCCCTGAGGGTAGTAACAGAGGATACCTGTCTATTTCACTACCTAGTCCCCGCCCCCATGTCTCCCTCCAACAAATCAGTGGCCAGCGACGCGGGAAGCCAGGATTCCGGGGACGGAAACGCAGGACCAAGGTGCGTGCGCACATGCATGCTGTGTATATTTGTGAGAAAGAGTAAGAGAAGCAGACGCTTCATTAGCTACATTCAACACTGTATTCAAGCAGAAGCCAAGTTCCCGAACTTCTTTGCAATAACGTGATCTCTTTATGGCCACTGATTAATGTCGTGCAATAGGAATTAGGCAAGTTAATCGACCCGGGAGGCTGACGTTTTATGCTGCGCCGCCCCCTGCTGGGTTTGCTCACGTGTGACGCGCCCGCGGACACTGACGTCCATTTCAGTTGACAGCAGCTGATCAGACTATTGCAAAGAACATTTTTGACTTGACTTCCGTTTGAAGGTAGTAATTCATACAGTACAGTATTAATAAAACAATATACTTTCTGTTGTGTTTACATTGTTCAGTATCATAACGCAACTTCTCCCTGGTCTGAATTCTACAACCGCAAAAATGAACAAATGAAATTAACTTTCTGTTAATGCAACTTAAGACTGAGTGTTATTGTTTTTCTCAAGGCATAAATGTTGACAAAGTAGCTCATTATCATAGATCAGGTTAGCCTCTTAATATTTGCTGCATTATTTACCAGTAAATGTTTTTCCTTCTAAAATTGGTGAATTCAAATATCATTTATCTTATTAAATAGTGAATTAATTTGTTGGAAATGGAAAAATTAGGGCTGGGGGAAAAAATAGCCATCGGAGTTAAGTCAACGACAAAAATTGCTCGCCGCAAGAACATTTGTGGCAATCTGAAAGCAATGTTTGGCCACTTCTATGTTTCCGCACAGACTTTTGTTGCTGAGGACACTCTTTTCCGGCGCCGAACGTTCATGCCAATTACTCGAGTAAATCGATGGAATAGTCGCTCAGATAATCGATTCTAAAAAGATTAGTTTGTGACAGCCCCAGGAAAAATAAAATAACAATTCCAAAATGCAAAGAAGATTAATCCAATTTATTCTTCCCAAAACAATTTTGATAACACAATTGAACAATTTCATCTACAAATAAGTTGGCACTGTCCATTTTGAAAATCAATGGTGGCCCCTGAGCACCAAAGTTTGCACACATCGCGCAGGAGTATACTGTATGTGACAAATGCTGACCCTTGACCTCTTTGCCTTTTCCGCGGCACGCTGATGTTTACCCGATTAACACGAGCTTCTTCTTCTTCTTTTCCCCTTTCTTTCCTTACCTTTTGACTCCTTCATCTTTAACTTGATCCCATCTCACCCTTGAGCCGTCTCCTTGTGCGATTGATTCGTCCCGCTGCTGTCCACGTGTCCGCTTTCTCCCGTCTCTCTGTCTCTTGCTAACTCTGGTCTGGTGGTTTGGCCCCTTAAGGACTTTGCATTGGGATCCTGACCCCTCTACTCTGCAACTCCACTCCGACTCTGAGCTAATGGGGTACTACTCCTCCTCTCAACTCTTGTTGCTACCAGCCTTTAATTGGCTTCTCGAAAGTTTCAACTCACGAGTGTCCAAATATGTTTAAGTGTTAGTCATATGTCTGTTAGCCCTCATCACCATGTCTCCTGTCATCTCAAGTTTTCTCTGGCGCTGCATTCTTGCTCGTATGTTCATGTGCGCTGTGATGCCTCTATGCAGGCGTGGGGCTGTGAGGCTCGGCATGTCTAAAGTGACCCAAGTGGACATTGTCCCCAAAGAAATGGTCTCCTATTCAAAAGAAACCCAGACCCCCACTGAAGCTCACACAGATCAAAAAGCAGGTAAAGAAACACATTTTTTTTTTTTTTAAATCGCTTGCTATTCCTGGGCGAAAGGGGATAGCAAATAAATGACGTCCCCTCCCTCATAAAAGAGGTTTATAATTGTGGATCAATGCCACAAAATGACTAACAAGCATTTTTCCAAAATTTACACTATTGGTCACTCCACACGTGAGGGTGTTATTTTTACAAATGATTGACCAATCTCAAGTGTTTAAAGTGGCTTGATGATCAAGTGTTAACGGTTGACTAAATATGCCGTTTTTGCCGTCTCCTGAAAAATTGGTTTGTTTTTGAGGGGCAAGGTTTCAATCCGACGCCAGCGATAATTGTGTCAACACAATTGCACCATCCTCACATCAGGCTCACTAATAATATTACCTAGCATACTAGCATAAAACACAAACTGCCCTGACATCACACAGAGGCAAATAAATCAACACATTCGCACTTTTCACAGACAATTATCAATGAATTAAATCAGGTGGCGCCAAAGTCAAAATGTTATCAAATAGATGAATTATGGACTGTTAGAAGAAAGGTTCTGGAAACCAAAAAATCTAAATTTGCAAATGCAGAACCACCCATGTGTGGGAGGTGACAGTACTCTTTTAATTGTTTTATGGGTGTATTTTGTGTGTTCTACAGATGAGGATGAGGATGATGAGATAAGTGCGCCCCCACCAGCAGAGGATGCTCAGGAGGAGAAGGAGGACCAGGGCGACCAACATGAGGAAGGTTTGTAACATCACAACATCAGACAAAGTCAAATCAAATCACGCTGTCTGAGACACACCCTGAACTGGTTGCCAGACAATCACTGGGCACACATACACAAACAACCATTCGCGCTCACAACCACACCCAGGGACAATTTGGAGCCTTCAATCAACCTACCATGCCTCTTTTTGGAATGTACCCTGGAGAAAACCCACACAGACACGGGGAGAACATGCAAACTTCACACAGGAAGGCCAGGACCTGAAATCAAACCCATGACCTCTGAGGCAGAGGTGCTAACCAGATGCTCACCGTGCCACCATTAAAAAGAATTGTGTGTGTGTGTGTGTATGTGTGTGTGTGTGTGTGTGTGTGTGTGTGTGTGTGTGTGTGTGTGTGTGTGTGTGTAGACACCCCCAAGGAGCTGACAGAGGAAGAGAAGCTGCAGGTCCTGCACTCAGAGGACTTCCTGGCTTTTTTCGAACGAGGCAGCAGGATTTTGGAGCGGGCATTGTGCGAGCAGGTGGACGTCTGCTTTGACTACAGTGGGCGAGATCTTGAGGACAAGGAAGGGTGAGTCCCATTCATGGGAAGAGGGAAAACAAAATGGGCAACGTAGATGAAATCCAGGACTAGCAATGCATTTTGTCCTGTTCAGGGATTTGCAGGCCGGTGCCAAGATGGTTCTGAGCAGACAGTTTGCAGATGAACGCTGGACCAAAAACAGAGTGGTCACCTGTCTGGACTGGTCTCCTCAGGTGGGTTTGTAACACAGATGTACCACTTTGAATCACACTTGGCCAACCCAATGCATATACAGTAATCCCTCGTTCATCGCAGTTAATGGGGACCAAAACCACCCACGATAAACGAAAATCCGCGAAGTAGCGTCCAATTACCGTAAATTCCGGGCTACAGACCGCACCTGATTAAGAGCCGCATGCTCAGATTTATGAAGAAAAATTCATTTTGTAATTATATGCGCCGCACCGTATTATAAACCGCTGGCCAATGAGTAGGTGGGGGTTTGCTTCTGCATCCCTGCCGCCTGGAGCGCCTCTGGGTGAGGCCGCGGACGCGGTCCCCCGCTGAACCCCCGCAGAAAAAAAAACGCAAAATTTCTTAAGGTTAAAATAATCTCCATATTTTTATGAGCATGATAAATGCATTTGCACAACGAAATTACGCTGAAACACATAATAAGAGGCCAGACAAAGAGAGATCTTGATGCGCATTTGCGTAATTACGAAGAGAAATACTGCAGCCCACTCGGCTTTAAATTAGAGCTAAGATCGGTCCTAAAAAATCGAGCCCGACCCGAACCGGCCCGGCCCGAGCCCGATCACTTAACTTGATTTGCAGGCCCGAGCCTGAAGCAAACCCGACATTTCATATTTTATTCGGGAGGAGGAGGGGTGATTTCTGATAACAAAACCTGTCTTTTGCAGAGATGAAAGTCCTCCGGATTTTCCCGGAATTCCGGGTTTTTCAAATTTTTATGAAAATTTCTCCGGAGAATTAAGGAAGATTTGCATAAAATTAATCCGGATATTAGTTGACAACATTGAACGAAGA